CTTACCCTTTTGAAGGCAGGTGGCGGAGATTTGGGCTGCTAAAAAGAATTTAAATCATGGAAGGAGAGACTTATAAGTTTAAATTTTTTAAAAAAGGAGAAAATTGGTTGTGCGAAGGTCTTTAGACCCCCCCCTCCACCCACCCACAATTACGGCTTATTTATTTCTCTCTCTGCTCTCCAGAAGAGAGCTTCAAAACCCCGGTTCTGCCCTTTGAAGTCAAGTTAGGATCCGCCGAAGTCAAGTCCGTGGGGTGGGGGTGTCTTTGGGTCCGGTGGAGGGAAGCCTTAATGAAGTCTCTCTTTCTGTCTCCCCCCCCCCCCCCCGTGTTATTTTCTCTCTCTCTCTTTCTTCCTCCCACCTCCGTCCCAAGAGCTATGAATGGGGAGAAAGTGGTTCTTCATTGTATGATTCTGAACTTTCAAGTCAATGTAATTTTTAACCACTGGCTTGTGGTACTTTGAAAACCACCGGGGGCTGTCAGAGCGGGGGGCTCTGAAAAATTTACAGTGCTAAATTAGAACATATGCTAGGAGAGAGAGAGAGGAGGGGAGGGGGGAGCGCTGGGGGGGGAGAGAGAGAGAGAGAGAGAGAGAGAGAGAGAACCCGCTCGGAGATGCCAGAAGTACAGTATCCGTCTGCCCCCTAGCGTAAGTCCTTCACCAGCCTCGACATATCCCACTTTCAAAGAATCTCAGCTCTTAAAGGGAAAGGAACGCGGGGCCACACGTAGGCAAGGCGAGAGAGGAGAGAGAGGAGGGGAAGGGGGGGGGAGAGAGAGAGCGAACCCTCCGCCAACAAACTTCTGTACCTTTCCCCCCCAATGTGATTAATTCCTACGGATTGCCAATTAATAAGACCGTCCCGGTTTAGCGCAGGACTTTGCGAAACCGCCGGTCTTAGCTGCCGAAGACGGGTTTCCCCCCCTCCCCACTTTTTTTAAAGGGGGGGATGTTTTGAGACGAGGTACTTTGGGGGGGGGTTTCCCCCCTCTTGCTGCAGAGGGAGAAGCCTGAGGGTCTCTCCCCCCTCCGGGGGAGGGGGGGGGCTCTCCGAAGCGGATTTTTAAAAGTGGCACCCGCGCCGATGACTCTTCATTTTTTCCCCTCTCCGCAATTAAAAGCGACAGAACTTTGAGCCGGGATCCTGGATTGACAGCCGATCTCTTCTCGCCCCCC